CTTGCTCACATGCAAATATCATATTTATCTTATATTAATTATGTCATTTTTCTATATAATATAAGTTAATATCATGTATGAAATGCAATATTACATGAAATATAAGGAAATCTACATACTCTAAATAAAATAAATTTACTTTAGAAAATTATAGTTTCTAATTTATCCAATAAAATTTAATAAGATTATAGTCAAAATACTCATGAGGATCATATCTATCATACAAAAAGTTTCACGATAAAAGCTCGATAAATCAGGAGAAAATAAATTTGATGCAATGTAAAATATTAGCCTATGTTAATTGTGGTTTTACTATTTTATGTTTATATTATATTGTACTTTAGAATAATTGGCATGAGAGGGTGTTTTTTAATATGTGCAAAAGATTTTGGCAGATTTTTGACAATTTTTTTGTCAGAAATTCTGGCGGATTAAGAGAAAAATTCATTGAAAAATTCAGTAGAAAACCAATAGATTTTCCACTGGAATTCTCGATGTTCCGTCGATTAATCATTTATGACGAAAAAAACCGTCGGAATGACCAGCAAAAAATCCACCGGATAATTTCCGACGACCTTATTCCATCCAAAGTTTATTTCCGACGTCCAAATTACTGATAATATTACAAATTTTTGAAATTTTACGGCTGATTCTTCCACTGAAAACAACTATATTTCATGTAGTGTTTTTCATTATATTTTTCATTTCAACTTTCTTTTAGTGTTTTTCAAAATGTATTTCAAATTCAAATTCATTTTTAATACAACCATTAAAAACTCATAACCATTAATTAGCTTCCAAAAATGTAACAAATCAACCATTAACATTATCGAAAGCAAAATATCTAATTATTGAATAATTGTAATTTTGAAAGTTTTCAATTCAATTTTGCCTCAAGATTCATGCCCAATCAAGACAAAATTTTGGTGACGTCAAAGCTTGCAAAGTCTAAAAATAAGTATAATTATATATATTTTTTATTTTGACAAAAGAAAGAATATTAAAAATAAAGATATTTCTAATAATTAAAAAAATATAAAATATAAAAGAACAAATTTAAAATGCACTCACCAAATTTTAAAAAACGTGCATAATATCACTTCCTAAAAAATAATTACTATGACCGTTCGGCCCTCCGGGCTTTGCGTTACCATCTGCCATCTCCCAAGCCCAAACCGAAGATCCGGTCACCGTAGGTAACAGATAAAAGCGCTATGGATTCATCAGACGAGACATCACAACACAACAAATCCGTCCTGTTTAAAAACTTCGCAAAAATTACTTGCTTCAACATAGCACTAAAAAACGACCATATTTACATATTTGACATCTATAATCTATTATTAATCACATATCACTCAATTCATGCAGTAACATCAAAAATAAATTGTGCTAAATATGAAAAAAAAAAGTTGGCTGTGGTGACAGACAACCAACCAGCCTAACCGCAAAATGAGCTTTCACTTAGGCAATCCCCATCTAAAAAAGTAATCAGGGGTTCAAAGTCCAAAACAACTAACGTTCCAAATCAAAATCTCACGACCCAAGTTATCAAATTGATGGAAATGGACCGCAGCATGGGCAAGTTGCTGCAAAAACTCGAGAAATTATTCCGTGCGGAGTCCGGACAGGAAGAACCGTTCGGACATGTGAATATACACACTATGTACAAATTTGTATACATTTTTTGTACATAGTGTGTACACTGAGAGTCCGAACGATTCTTCCTATCAGAACTCTGCACGGAATAATTTCTTCAAAAACTCGCCCATCTCCAGTTCTTCTGCACGTGGGCACCGCAACGATGATCGAATTTGGGTGAGCTAATGTCAAGATTATTGGAATAAATCTGCAAAATAGAATCAAAATATCAGTTTTCATGAAGTCGGTTTCAAGGGTTTGTTGCGTCAACAGTAATACAAAAGAGGTGATAGTGAAGGGAAGGGCTCTGTGCTCAGAAGAATCTGTTCCATCTAATCACAATGCCATTTCTGATGGCTATGTTCTTGTCCTCACTTAACCTGGTGATGCAGGGTTGGGTTTATAGGCTGGTCATGAGCCAGCTGGAAGCATATGATGTGGGCCATGTGCATGCCCACTTGGCGACGGTAAATTATCACGTGCGGCATCATGATTTGTCCGGAGGCGAATCCTGACACGCCACGTCACCCCGACCCCAGTGCATCCGGGTGACGTGGTTCGTCCGAATTCGCCTTCGGATGGTCCGGACACCGCACAGGCAGGCAACCTGATTGGTGGGTGCTGACCAATGGCTATGAGGCTAAGGATGTTGCAAAACCTTTTAGATACCCCAGCTATGGGGACCTATATGTTATCGTCTTCAGTTAGGCAGCGGAAAAGAGACTGTGATCAGCCTATTTAACAATAGTTAGCTTGATGGTGATTAGTCAATAACCAATATAATAACTCCACAAAAGCAGTCTATTAAAGCTTATCTGTCAGATAATTAAAAAAAGAAGTGCTATATAGAACGCGTTTGCAGCAGTAAGCAATCATTAAAGTTTCGTTTGGGACAGTTTTTTTATTGATTCTTAAAACATCTTTTTAGTTTAAAAATTAAAATTTTTATACTAAAAAATCGTTTTAAGAAGCAGTAAGAAAGCCGTCCCAAACAAGGAAAACTATTACGTGCGGCGTCCGGATTCGTCCGGAGGTGAATCCGGATGCACCACGTCATGCGGGCCTGGTGCATCCGGGTGACGTGGCGCGACCGGATTCGTCTCCGGACGGTCCAGACACCGCACGTAATACCGTCTCTCCAAACGAAGCCTAAATCTCTAAACTGTTCATTTTCATGCGGTGGGGGGGGGGGGGGGGGGCGAGTTTTCAAAGAGCATTAGTGTCAGATTTTGAGATAAATGATGAGTTATATATGAAAGGGAAAGGGCAATGTAATGATGATAAACTGGATGAATTTTGAGTCATTAGTGTGTAATCAAAGTGGGTACTAAGTTCAAAGAGGATTACGGAAGTTAACCTGCAAAACAAAGAAGAGTCAAATATATATAGTTAGGTAAGTAAATATATTAGGATGCAGACATTAGTGTCGCCATCATTTCTGAACTACTGAACTTGATATACTATAATTGGATAACTACGTGGGCTCTGGTCCCATTTTCTTAAATAAGTGAGATGAACCAAGGTCACTGTCAGAAGAGAGATCACAGGGCCACCACCCATGCTGTCCTGTTCACCGCTCCAATTTGTCCTCCTGGTAAGAAAAAAATCTTTCTCTGAATTCTATTTAATTTGTATCTATATTCATAGGGGACTCCAAACTCAAAATCTTAGCAACTTAATTTTGACTTTAACCTGCAGCTTGACAATATCTTACAGAAAAGAATTCATCATTTTTCATGATAATTTTTAGCCATTCATCAAACAAGTGAATAAATAAGGAATACTAAAAAACAGATAGAAGTCTGCAATACGCATTAAATATCACTACATGCTCATATATTTAATTGTAGGCCACTTGTTGATAATCAGAATTATCTTATCGAGCAATTGGATCTATCCATTGAAAATTCGAATTTTTTGAAAACAGTCATAGAACTAATTTTAATGATGCTAAAACTAATAAACGGTTTTATCTTATAATTAACAATTATAATATCAATGTTAGTGAATGAAAAATGATCATTCCCAGCTTGGTAATTAAAAGAGATGGATGGACTTTTTGATGGGAAGATAATGACTTTTCCTCCTAATTTATTTTTGTATTTACCAATTTATACAATCTTCAAAATCAGTCGTATTATTGATTGTGATCTATATCATAAGATTTAAATGTTGATTGCATCTCATCAATTTTTTTGATAATTAAAATCACTAAATATTAAAAGAACATGCATCAGTAAAAATCCTCTACAGATTCAGGGGTTTAACGTTTCGTTTGGAACGACTTTCTTATTTCTTTTTAAAGCAACTTTCTAGTTTAAAAATTAAAATTTTTGTACTAAAAAGCTGATTTAAGAAGCAGTAAAAAAGCCGTCTCAAACAAAACCTAAGTTTGCAAGAGGAGACTCAACCATGGTTGTTTTTGGATGAATCCAACTTAATGCCAGAAACAGTATATTAAAGCCTTAATTAAAAAGGATGAAACTTGATGTGAATCGTTGGAGCATTAAACAAATCCCCAAATTCAGAGAAAAACCAAGCCCTTGATATTAATGGACAGAGAAAAATGATTTGTGCAGAGATATGCCGAGCAGATGGAATAAAGGTTGATGAGTATAATGACGACTATGATGAACAAATAATCCAAACTTTCCTCTTTAAGCGGTTAGGCTCCATATCTACTTTTTAGTAGATTTACATTATTATCACATGGTTTAAAGATTCCAAGATCCTATGGGTACTTCAAGTAAGGGAAAGATAAAAGTGATATGGGCACAAATTTCTTATGGAAAGTAAGACTGAGAGGTAGCCTATCTTAGAAGCATTAGGTGTTAAAAGCACAAAAATATGAGTCTAGAAATCCAAAAAGGAAAGATCTAATGTAACCAGGAAACTTATGGCATGTGGGTGATGTGTTTTTAAAAGAATATAACAACAGAACCAAAAACTGGGCGTAAAATGAAGCCAATCATCTGCACATGTAAGATCCCAATAAAGTAAAGAAAAATGTCTAGCAGCAAATCCATAAATCCCTACTAAAGCCAGAACAAGTAAGTTGGCCATGCTATCCTTTTTTAGGTAAAGGGGGGTCTCTACTTCTTGTTGAAAAGGATTTGAAAACGAAACAGAAAACTGAAACCATAACATTCATGTGATTTGGGAACTTCCGGGCCTAATATAAGTGAAATAGTTGAAAGTGAAAGGTTCGAAGAAGAAATGTACTTTTCAGCAGTTCGTGCATCATGAGTTTTCATTGTTCATCATAAGATTAATTAAAAGTATTTCACTCATCAAACAAAGCTGATGACATTTTCAGTAGTCATATATACAAGCAGTAGCAGTTAGATTAGTCCAGAAGGTTTTCATCAAAGAATATTAAATCCAAAGAATTCTAAAAATCTAGAAAAAGATGAAGTTGACAATGTCTTAAAACATGGGGAACTTGTTCAACAACATTAGAGAAAGAGGACTGTGTTCTACAGATTTCGTATTATCTGAAGCAAACAGAAGAAAGAAGACATTTGTTTTTTTCAGGCATTGCATCAAAAACAAATTCGCAAATGACTAAAGGAGGAAGACTTTAGATTTTGTCTAAGTTCTCCACAACTTATCATTTGGTCACATTTGTTTGTTTCTCCAACCACCCCCACCCAAAATGTCCAACCATTCATTCCTGCACCAAACCAATTATTAAAAGCTAGCTAAAAAATATTGAAAGTCTATAACCAATGATGACATTAGAGTTGATTAACTTAAAATTTTGCAGCAAGTGACATCAACCAAAAGAAATAGATTTTTAAAGATTAATTTAATTAAGGGAGTCTCAGAAATATTCATTTGTGGAGCTCAGAATTCTCTATGACCTAGTGTATAAATGCTTATTTAAAATTCAACTGCAACAAATAGTGAATCACAGGTGTGTATTACACGGGTTTCTAAATCGCATATGGCATTTCTCAAACAAATAAAGGAAAAAAAAAGGAAATCCATATGACGTAGCCAATAAAGAAAAAACCAAGTAATGTTAAAGTTCATAATAGACAAACCTATTGCGTGGCCATGTCATTGACATTTTGCCAAATGCCTCATTTCTAGATTCATAAAACTTATCTTCTATTATCATAACAAAAGAATTATTCAAATGCATAGTTCACCCACACGTGAGGCTACCTATGTTTAATTTCTACAATTTCAAATGTCAATGATGATAACTGTGTTGCTTTATTCTACAATGCCAATTGACAAATTTAGGATATATTTCAGAAAATATTAGGGATGTCAATTTTGGGTCACGGCTCGGGTTCAAGTCGAACTCGAAGCAGACCCGAACTATTCGGGTTAACCTGAACCCGACCCATTTTTACAAACGGGTCGATTTTTCAGACCCGAACCCGGCCCGCTTTTGGTTCAGGACAACCCAACCCGACCCGTACGTAAAATCTCGTAACTCCTCTTCGGGTTCGGCAGCGGCAAAAATCGCGTAACTCTGGCGGCCAGCAGCGGAAAACGATGCTACGCGACATCGCGGGCAGCGACGAGGCGCGACAGATGCGATAACAACAGTGGCTCGCAGGAAGCGGCATCGCAGGCACTGGACAGACGCCAGACGCGACGTGACAGTTAACACGCGAGGCAGCAAGGCAAGCTACGCGGCAGCGGCTCGATGGCCGATGCGACGCGGGCAACAAGGCAGGCTACACGGGCAGAGCAGGCAGACGGGTCATTCTGAGTCATTTCCAAGTTTCCGGGTCAACTCAAAACCGACCCGATTTTTAAACATGTCGAATACTCTAACCCGAACCCGAAATTTTCAGGTCGGGTTTTCAGGTCGTGTCAAATATTGACATCCCTATAAAATATGGAGTTCAATAATATTCAAGTAACTGGAGATATTCCAAGAAAATCTAGTATACATTACAATTCTTGGCTAGCACAATTTTTTGTTTTAGAATAGGTAAAAAACCACGCGCCAAAATAGATAATTGAAGTTGAAAATTATATGAACACATACATTCTATGCTCTTCACAAATAAACCAGAAAAAGGCATTTAAGCTCTGTTTGGTTTGAAGTAAAGGCAAAATGAAAAGGGAATGGTAATGTTATGGAATTCAAATAAATTTTCACCCACTTGCTTGGTTGAGGAGAAATTAAACATTTTTTTTTTTAATTTTGTTGAAGAGAAAATGAGTTTTTACTTGTGAGATCAATTTTTCTTCTCAAAATTTTTTAGGGTTTGGATATGAAATTATTAATAGTAAAATGTGCTTGTTTGCATTTTCTACATACATCTAATTATCTGTTGATTATATTTAAATCAAAAACCCAAAATAATTTTGGTAAGTAAAATGAATTAGCATTTTCTCAAATTACTTATAGCCTAAAAGGCCCCTAGAGTCACCAGAAGAAACGGGGTAAAATGATTTATTAGCACAATCAGTTAACTGGTTTACAAAGTAGGAGTACTTGAGGCATCATGATGCATACATGATACATAGAAAATAATAATATACTCGACACAGAATGTTCAAATACACCAAATGCATCATTGCAAGTTTACCTTCTATCCTCTAGATCAAAGACCATTGGCCCGGTGACGTGCTAAAGACACAGCTAAGTCAAATGACTCCGAAAGCAACTTTCCACCAAAACCAAGCAATTTAGAATATTATTGATAGTTGAAACCACTATTAGAAAAATTATTTTCTAGGCATTGTTTTCTAGAAAGCTTAAATGCAGAAATTATGATTTAAAAGCATTACATCATAGTATGAACCTGTAGGAAGATGCCAATTTTATTGCTAAACCACGGCCACATATTTATTTAATAACATAATTCTTTTTTTTTTTTAAATAGTTTTAAATGAACCAAGCTTTCTATTTCAGCCAAACTGATACAGACACTTACGCACTACATGAATAAGGCTCTAAAGAAAATGATTGAATTCTGATAGGAAATACTTGAGTTCGCAAGTAATCCAAGAGGAAATACTTCAGTTCGAAAGCAACCCTAGCAATAATTGATAAAAACATCGGAAATAATGCGATATTCTCAATGAAATCAATTCAAGACGATAGATTGTAATAGTGGATTCAAAGCAAATGCAAATAAAAAGCAAGATACAATTGATCCTCAATTCGAGAGGAGGATCATTATCTCCCAATTCTAGACAATGAGTCTAGAGTCCAAGACGCCAAAAAAATTTCAAGAGAACCCCAAACAAATCAAAGCATAACCTTACGGTATACAATTAATTATTAAAGCCAAATTATTCCCTTGTCCTTGCCGCCCCCTCCTTTGCCTCCAATTAGTTTGAATTTGAATAGCTAGTGGGTCCCACTCCTCTCCTCTCTCTCTATGCCGCCGTCCCTTCTCCTGTAGCAAAGAACCGGCCTCTTTGAAGGGGCCGGTTGGAGTTGGGCTGGTCCACTAGAGACCAGTCTAATAAATTCCAAAGGAAACAGGTGGCAAAAACTAATAAGGGTGCTTGTAGCTTAATAGAACGATTCCTCTGAAGCGACTACTTTATGCTTTCAAAATTAGCAGCACCAATGAAGTTCCTGCAACGACAGCTTATTCTCACTAAAGCTATGAACAATCCAAGTTCAAGACGATCAGTACAAAGGCTTAAAGATCAGCTCAAAATAATTCAATCCAATCTCTGAATTTGGGCCAGCCTATCTCGTTAGTTCCAATCCAAGCAAAGATCATATTGGGCTTTAAAACATTGTTAGTCATGCCTACATACATCAATAAATTCATAGTTACATATATATATACCCAGCCTTAACTTGCAATTGCAAAAGCCTGTTTTTGTGACTCAAATTTAAGACCTCTAGATTCCACTAAAATAACCACTGCTACAAGCTCGTCCACGCATGCCTGCATATCAGCGAAATGCATTTTCATACATACCTACATAAATATTTACGAATCTTGTGCTTGCTCAATTCAGTATAAACTAGGCACAATCAAGATTGATGAGAGCTGGAATTGACTCATCAGTTGACCCATCAGTTTCGATCCAAGCTCTATTCAAGCCAAATTTGTATTCAATTTTTAAGCAATCTTCAATTGAGTTGAGCTTTCAACCCTAATTCCAGAAAAATTCAAATTCAGTTATATCTAGCTGCTGAGCGAGGATATGTAGCTTCTTCATATTATGCCTTGCTATAAAGATGCAGAGTGACAATAATAATAACAATGATATATTAAACAGTTATTACTTCTGTAAGGTTCGTTAATTTGAATAAGGGTATGGTAATAAGAAAATCACCATTCACACTATCATGATTGCTGTTTTCTTAATAGTGATAACAACGTAGAAATTGCTAATAACCATATAAATGATAATTATTTCGTGAATTCTGTATCACTTGTATGCTATTCATAAATCAAAATTCAGGTTAATTATGACAACACCCGTCAATTAGCACGATATGGCTCATAAGCATCCCAAGTTATCTATCAAACTCACCAGATAGCAAAGAACAGATGCAAAGTTCAAGTTCAAGGACTGCGGTTAAGATATTTGACAAAGCAATTCCGACAACACATTTGGGGGACAACACACCCAAAAGAAGGATGTCTTGGTGTGTGTGTGTGTGCGGGGGGGGGGGGGGGGGGGGGGGGGGGGGTTGCCGGTAAGGTTATTTAGGGTACATAGAGCAACGGATCTAGAGAAGAATACTGAGAGATGAGAATGGTAAGAAGAGCATTTTGTTTTCATAAATTTTCCATACCTTCACTGTTTACATGAGGTAGTATATATAAATGATAAAGGGGAGAAGGTAGTTGTGATGTGCAGTGTATACACAGGTGATGTAATGATGTGGGATAGTGGAAATCTTCTCCAGTACATATGCTGAGCCATAAGGTAGTGGATAGGAGCAGTTATTGTTTGCTTGCTTTTCATTGTGGTTAGTATAGCTTATCACCGCCCCGCAAACTAAGTATCTAGTGTATGGATAGTTAGTTTGGAGCGAAGTTGAGAAAAGCGTGCTGGAGAATGTTTTGGTGAGAATGTCGGTTGGTTGATCTTGGGAAGAGATGAGATGTACTGTGATCTCATTGGCGCTGATTCGATCACGAATGAAGTGATAATCTATCTCAATATATTTGGTATGGGCGTGACATATCGGGTTATTTTCCAGGGACATTGCTGAGATGCTATTACAGTGTAGTGGGGTAGTTGTAGATTGTGGGATGGCAAAGTCAGCTAGAAGACGCCGAAGCCAAACAATGTCAGCTGCTGCTGAGGCGAGGGCTCAGTACTCAGCTTCGATAGAGGATCTTGCGACAGCTGGTTGCTTCTTTACACTCCAGGATATGAGTGTGTTGCCAACGTAGGAGCAATGTCCTGAGGTAAATTTGCGGTCAATTGGGTGGGAGGCCCAGTCGGCATCGAAATAGGTGTGGAGTGTGAGCTCTCCACGGGTAATGGGAAGGCCGAAGCCAAGTGATCCCTTAATGTAGCGGAGCAGGCATTTTAGTTTTTGATTGTGGAGATTGAGGGGTTGATGTATGGCTTGACAGAGGTGGTTTGTTGCAAATGCTATATCGGGAAGGGTAATGGCTAAGTATTGGAGTGAGCCAAGAATCTTGCGATATAGAACTGGATCGGGTGTACAGTAGCCTTGAGCTACAAGTCGAGCTTTGTAGCGGTCAATGGTAC